TCATAAAGGAGGGGCAGCAGAAAAGGGGGGGCGAGGAGGGCATAGCTTCCAACATAAAACAATATTATAGAATGTTGCAGTATACATTGTAAAAGAGGAACATCCTGTCTTTAAACATAAAAAAAATCTAACAAACAAATAAAAAACTTGACAACTTTTCAGTTTTCTTTAGAATAATATACTTTGAGTTTTCAGAAAGAAAGAAAGTCTTGTTAGGAATATGATTTTAACACGCAAATTTCAAAACTGAATTAAATCGTAAATATTTAGTTGTACTGTGTACTGTGTACAGTGTACAGTGTACTGTGTACTGAGTACTGTGTACTGTGTACTTTGTACTGTGTACTTTGTACTGAGTACTGTGTACTGTGTACTGTGTACTGAGTACTTTGTACTGTGTACTGTGTACTGTGAATTGTGTACTGTGTACTGTGTACTGTGTACTGTGTACTGTGTACTGTGTACTGTGTACTGTGTACTGTGTACTGTGTACTGTGTACTGTGTACTGTGTACTAGTTGTACTGTGTTCTGTCTGACATGATTTTATGATATTTTCTAGGTTACCTTTTGGGAAAAGTGTAAAACGTAATTTCGATTTTCAAGATTCTTTTTTTTTGACAATAAATAAACATAGAGAATAGAATATATAGAGAGGAATTAAAAGAATCTCTCGGTATGAATTTTTTCAGTCCCTTTCAGCCTGAAAGGGAGTTCAAAGTGTACAAATCATGTAAATGTTCACAAATTATGTGCAGTAGAGTACATTAATACAGTATGTTCCCTGGCTACTATTCATTTCAATTTCGAATTTTTTAAACTGTTAAATAAACTTTATAATGAATTAGATTAATAAAAACATCATTTGATTTATATAGTTATAACGGAAAATCATCGTTTGTAAAGTGGAAGGCATAAAGTCTATGTGAAATATTCATTGGTCAATTATTAAACCAGCCTATTTCATAATTTGGTTTTCTTTTAACAATAATTTTAGATTTTCTATAAAATGATATTCCAGGGCCCAACAGGTTATATAGCATAAATATGTGAAGTACACCTGCAGTATGGAAACAATACAACAAAATGGCCGTTTTACACTTTTTTCTAGTAAATCCCTCTCTATATATTCTATTCTCTATGTAAATAAAACAATAAATAGAACTAAAAGTTATTTTTTTTATCTTAATAACCCATCGATCATGTGTTTGTGAGATCAATCAAAAGTTTTGAACACCGGAACAAAACGAACCAAAAATATATATACAGTGGTCAATACAACGAAGACGACTTTTCTTTTAAAGTTTTTATTTCTAACAAGTAAGCAAAGAGAAGCTTTTAATTGACAGCTTCTGTTTGCTTTGCAAGATCAAGAATCAAGAACCAATGAGCTCTCCATGTTTTTAACTTTGAACATTAATTATTTTTCTGTAGTATCTCTATAATTATGACTTCTTTAACAGAAACAATAATAATGGAGGAAATTGTAAAATCGAACAATTATTAAGATAGAAAAAGACGTTATCTTTCACAATGATCAAATAAAGGTTTTAAGGATTGCAGAGTAAATGGGGTATACACCTCTGTAAAACATATTTTTCTTTCTTTCGAAATCTAATGAGCAAATTATTATTATTTTTTATGTAATTCTAGAAAAACAATTTTGAAGACGACTTTCAAATTATTGCAGTTTCAATCCAAATCTCTTTATTCACAGAAAGTACAAGAACTATTAACAGTGTATATATTTAATATATATAATATATTTGTTTGATTATAATTCACATTTGTTCATAAACCATACTAATAAATTCAAATAATGCTTAAAACGTTCCCTTTTTAATAATTAATTAACCGGGCCGGGAATTTGAGCAATTTTTCAGAAGAAAAAAATTTCATACTTTTAGTTTTTTAAATCATTGTTAATCAAGGCGTGAAATTTGTCTTTCTCTGGGTTATATCATTATCAATCAGAGTTAAGATCATCTTTCATAATAAACATATAAAACTTGATATTTTGAATATAAAGCTCCAAGAAAGCATATTTAAATCTCATCTTACAGTGATAACCAAAAACAATAGAAAAGGAAGACAACATTATAGCAATCTTTAAGTGTATTTGATGTTTGCTAGCTATAAAAGGCACTTTCTAAACCACTTGTTTAGTGAAATGTTTTTTTCTTCGCTTTACACAATTGCTCTGTCACATGCTTAATTGACCTTTTTCAAGTTAGAACTATATATATAGCTTATATATAGAATATATATATAACTTTAGCTTAGTTCTAAAAGTAGTCTTCTTATTTTCTTATAAAAGTAGTTGTCTGGTTATCACTGTATATACAATTATACATAAGTTGTAAAATGCACATTGTAAACTCAAAGAACTTATTTTTATATGATATCAAATTTAGCGCGTCTCTAAAACATTTAAAAACGCTCAAATTTTAAGCTTAAAAACATGACATATGTAAGGAAAGTAAGTGAAAATTTTTTCATAAAGACACTTTTATAGATACTGCATTTAGGCAGTTAGGCAGTGTAATTTAGTTCTGATAGTTTTAATCTTTGAAACAATATTTCCCTCTTCAGTTCATCACTTGAAGTTTAAGATATTGAAGTTTAGCAGCTGATCATTGCTCGAACCAACTAAAAAATATTTCATCATGAATTCTATAAAAAAAAAAATACTTTTAAATGATTAAAAGATTTCTTTAAAAATAAGCGTTTTGAAGCTTTGCTCACGCAAGTAAAACTTTATAAAAAAGGGTTAATTTTTTTATAAAAAAATGTATTTACCTCCGCGGTTGAGAGTTTAGTAAAACCATTTTTTGAAGGATCTTTTCTCTCTGCATACCCTGATCAATGATCAATCAGTTAATCAATAATCATATATAAAATAATACATATTTGATGGAGAAATCAATCAGTCTGCTAATCAATTAATTATCATAAATCGTTCAGCATAATCAATTTATATCAATAAAAGGTTGAATCGATGTTAAAAGAATTAAATGTTTGCCACGAACTCTGGTTTTCTAATCCCATTATCTGATCAACCCAATGTAACAGACCTCAGATTTTTCAAACTATGAATTTTGTTAGATCAGATTACCTATGTTTTCTAATATCAAAGTTTTACACTATCAGGCTACAAAGATATAGAGATTAGAACATTTGAGTTTGTGGCTAAGACTACTCCTTTATGATTCAAAAAATTTTACCGGCTACCAAGCAATTGATCAATTAGTCAATCGACCATCATTTTTTAACTAGGCTATTGATTAATCGTCTTTATCAAACATAGAATCGTAAGTTCAAATATTCAATTAACAATACACTATAGTTTCAGTAGAAGTAAATATTTCCATTTACTGAGAGCGCTGATTGAAGGATGCATAACTCTAATTGGATAATGAGATAGATAGAAAGATAGATGTTTTCCGCCATACTATTTCTATTGGTTCAGAATAGAAAACAAGCACATGACTGAACCCTGATTGGATGAGGCGATAATGGACTCGGCATACAAGAGTCCATAAACAAAATGGATCAATCGACCATTCTAATTAAATCATACAAAACATCAAACAAAATCTTAATTTCTGCCGATTTGTCAATAATTCATGAAACACCAAAAACATTCCTAAAATACAACAACTATATAAGTTTAATGTTTATTACCGAATGCAGTATTGAGAATGAGAATTATTGAAACAAAATCTCCAAATCTCAGAGTTCCATCCTTTCTCAAATATCTAGAAGTTAAAAATATCAAAGTTTTGTCTACCACTAATAATGAACATGATTATGATAAAAAGCTCTGAACAAAATACAATCTAAAAGTTTGGAATCTTTCGATAAAAAAATGTCTGTAAAAAAAACTATAAAGCACTATGCACTGCTCCAGTGAACCAAATAAATGACTAAACCAAAATGATTAAATAATTATAAAAAGTAATGATAAAAATGTTTTCTAACCTGAGAAGGATTTGTCCTAAAATTTCATTCGATGTTCTAAACCCAACTTCCAGTAAAGCATCGCGCAGTCTAAAAAAAAAACAAAAAAACAATTATATTTGATAAAACTGATTATTTTCAATTGTGGTTTCTCTACAAAAGTAACTTTTCTTCTACAATGTAAAAATGATCAGAATTGAACTATTTTCAAGCTAGATTTAAACGACGTTATCTTTATAGACATCAAACCCTGTATCAAAACTTTATAGACATGAAACCCTGTATCAAACATTTATAGACATGAAACCCTGTATTAAAACGTTATAGACATAAAACCCTGTATCAAAAGATTTATGAATTGGGTAAGACAATTTTGAAGAAATCATCAACCCCCCAAAAGGAAATTTTGTTCTCACTTAAACTTTCGGCTCTGTGCAATTTTCTTTCTCATTGCATAACAATATTTAAACTTTAAATTGAACCATTTTGCTTCCCCCCCCCCCTCTAATAACCTTGAATTTTTGCCTGTAGCAAACATATTACTTGTATACCTAGAGTTAGATAATATTTACACAAGTGAACCTCCCTGTAACGATGGTAATGTCAGATTCACAATGGTTCTCTTAACCTTTGTCTAATCAATAATGTGGAGGATATAGATTTAAAAGGGTTTAATGCACAAGTCACTATTATAAAGAAATCACAATTAAAAATAATCAGTTTAGAAAATTATAAACATTGGTATCTAATTCATACTGTATCAGATAGGGTGCCGTTGTGAATCAGGCATTGCCATCTTTGAATAAACTGTTACTTGAAATTACGCTTACAGTCCCTTTAATCAGCTATGCGGCGGTTCCAAATACCCAGAGATTTAATAATATCTATCTTAACCTTCAATTCTGTAGATATCTCAAATGCTTATTAAACAAGGGCCAAATCCTACTTAAATCTTTCCAATTATAAATAAATTAAATCTACAATGATGACATGTCTGTAATGGAGGAAGTACAAAAATGGAAGACCAGAGCTGGGAACTTTTGTGTGTGTATTCTCATAATCCCGATCACTTGATCTCGATATCCATTGCGGGCACTTTTATTTTAATGATCTCTAAAAAACGTAAAATCCATTCTGAAGAAATCAAACTAAAATCAACAAATAAAATATTTTTTCGCATTTTGATAAACTATTTAAAATGTGCGCGTAATAAAAATTGAATAAAACGACCTATACATGCTAGTTTGCTACAATACAAACTACAAACCTACAAACCAAGTCAATTTTTACTTTTGCATTTATTTTTCTTGGATGTACATATTAGATTTAGCTCTCAATGTGAATTAACCAATATTTGGTCAAAGAAAACATAAATAATGATCAGATTTTTTGTACAATTTGAAAAATCTAAAAGACCTATTATTTGAGTAGTGAAATTAGAAAAGATCTTAAGATTTACATGTTTATTAAAATTAAAAATCATTTTTATGCAATTTTACTGCATGTATTTTTTAATAATTGATTTAGGTAAAGCCATACAAAGGTCAAATTTTATCATTATCGTATCCGGGCAAGTTCAACTAATTCTCGTGATTAATTAATTCCGAACTCGGTTGCATTATATTGTATCATAATGAAACCAAAATAGTGTAACTTATAGTTTAGCGTTCAATCTATTTAACACTTGAGGATATAATTGTTCTAATTAACATTGTGTTATATAGTTTTCTCTTAAAACCTGGATACCAAGGTTACGGTCATATATTTATCTATCTATTTATTAATGTATATATCTATCTATCTATCTTCATTAGAAGTAAAATTGTGAACATAAATTGCTTTTAAATTTCTTGAAATACACAAACCAAACTCTTAAAACGAACTTGCTTGAAATTTTGTTTTTGCCAAATTTATAAGATAAAACAATTTATTTACTTGCCACAAACTCTGATTTTTAAATCTTTATCATTGCAACCTTGATAGCAATGAATTCTGTTAGACCATACAGTCAATATTTGAAACATCATACACAACGAGGTTGCAAAGATTCAGGGATTAGAAAATTAAAGTTTGTGGCAAAGAGGTTTTTTTAAATTTTGATAACTACCTTTCCGCTCTTAGAACACCAGTTTTCTCCTTTGTATGTGCTCTAAACACCCCTTGCCACATTTTTAAACTAACAATCAAATCCTAAACATTTAAATTTCATGAAAATTAAGAAATACGTCAGTAAATTGTTAACCTCAAATTAAAGTAAATTACATGTGTTCCAATACAGGGTGTCCCAATAAACATGGGATTATTTCAGAAAAAGAATTTTGTAGTATCACAGTTAAAACATGTAACACCGAAAACAATTATAGTCTGGGGATTTCCAAAATGTGGTCTACCATTTTTTCACCTTCACAATTGACGGAGATATTAGGAAATTGGTCCAGATTCCAGTTAATTAAAATTCAAAAAACCGTTCAAATGTTTAATAGCTCCATCAATATACAAGATACAAAGAAGGTAGACCATATTTTGGAAATCTCTTTAGAAGTTCAATCTTTTTTTAAATGCATTTAATGTAATTTATCCACTATCGGAAATCAAAGACGATATTTAAGTTGTCTATCAATTTCCTTGTTTTTTGGGACACCCTGTAGATTGAAATCTTTCCTGTTATCAATCATTGCTTGTCTAGCTGAAAAGCTAACAAGACAAAAAAGTTTTTTTACATGCTAGCGTAGTATTGATTATATCAATTCAATTAATACGACTTTCGATTTCCGTTTTGATTTATATCAAGCTGTTAAATAGCATGGATACACATAAACATAGGAGTCAAGAGAACCTGTCAATTAAAAGAGCTTTCATTTTATTACTTTTAAACTTGTAATTCGAAAAAATCTTGTTAACAATGAAAACTATAAAAAGTCGTCTTCATTGTATTGCCTATCCACTGTATCAAATCAACTATAGTTTTCTCCTTAGACGTAAAATCAAAACTAGACAAACTTCGAAGTCCCAAAGTTGTACCAGCAATTTTGCATAAAATCGACCATTTTCTTATGTCTAAAGCTTGGAATGAGTTCAATTAAACTAATATTTTATTAAACAATTTACCTTAAAGTTTGAATGACTAAGACGCCCAAGAGAATTTTTATCTTTCTCCAGAGTTGAAACAATTTGTCGACAGACGTCTATACTAGCCATACTCTTTATATAATCTAAACAGATGTCTATACTAGCCATACTCTTTATATAATCTAAACAGAATAATATAATAGATAGAAGTATTATCAAATCGTAAATCATACAACATTATCATATATTATATATTTTATAAAACAATAAAATTATCAATATTGGTATTCTCCGTAAAATAAACAATAAAAGCAAAGTTTTATCATAATTAACATAATCAACAAAAGATGTTTCTCTTTACTTTACATAATCATTTTGATAAATATTTCTCAGGATCTTCAAACATAAATCATGATGAAAACTCAATTAAACTACTAACCATTAGGAAGGCAGGTCTCTAAAAGTTCTTGAAGCTCGAACGCGCTGACCGTTCTGCGCTCATCGCACAGTTGCATGAATAAGCTCTCGTACTGCTCGTACCCCTTGGATTCTTTAAGGTGCGCCGGCGCTTTTAGGACAGGACTACGCAGAAGCGCAGGAGTACAGTCCACTGCGCGCAGTTTAGTCTGGCTTCGTGATAATACCCTGATTATATAAGAATGATTAAAAATATTATATTATATTAAATTGAAGATTTTTTTGTTGTTGAAAAGATTGTTTTAGACTTTCCATTATAAACGGGGAAAAAATGTTAATACAATTGAAAAAATTTACAAGAAACCCACTGGAAAAAAACGAGACAGATTTTCTACAGAACGGATAGGTTAGATTAGGATTCTGGCCCTCAGAATCATCTTTAATTATTTATGAAATGCTTATTTGTAATAAATGATTGATTGATACCCTTGAAAACTATGAACTAAGAAATTTATATAAGGAACTTCTTAAATGCGAATTTATTAATAAAAATAAAATAATAAATGAATCACCGAATCAATTTAAGAATAAATGAAAATAATGAAATAATGAAACTACTGAAAAGCTACTGAAAGACTTTTAAAAAGCTACTGAAAAACTAATGAAAGATTACAGAAAGTCTACTGAAAGACTACTGAAATATTACAGAAAGTCTACTGAAAGTCTACTGAAAGACTATTGAGAGACTACTGAAAGTCTACTGAAAGGCTACTTTAAGACAAATGAAAGTCTACTGAAAGTCTACTGAAAGTCTACTGAAAGTCTACTGAAATACTACTGAAAGACTGCTGAAAGACTACTGAAAGATTACTGAAAGATTATTGAAAGACTACTGAAAAAAATACTGAAAAAATACTGAAAGACTATTGAAAGACTACTGAAAAGACATCTGAAAGACTACTAAAAGACTACTGAAAGACTACTAAAAGACTACTGAAAGACTACCGAAAAACTACTGAAAGACTACTGAAAGACACTGAAAGACTACTGAAAAACTACTGAAAGACATCTGAAAGACTACTGAAAGACTACTGAAAGAATACTGAAGACTAACGAAAAACTACTGAAAGACTACTGAAAGATTACTAAAAGACTACTGAACGGCTACTAAAAGAATACTGAAAGACTACTGAAAGACTAATGAACGGCTACTAAAAGACTACTGAAAGATAACTGAAAAATTAATGATAGACTACTGAAAGACAATACCTGAATGTGAAGGATGACTCCTGGCTAGGTTCGAATGTAGTTGGTAGGACTAGGTATGAGCATGATGATAACGTGGTTCGTAAAGATACATGTCTGCAAACAATAAATGGTCAGGACAAGTATCATCGATTTATATAAAGTAGTAATCTCTGTTTGTCTGTTTGGATCATAACTCATATATTTCTTGATTGATTTCCCTTAAATTTTGATTAGGGAACTCGGTAGAATCACGGAAATATTCTTAGCTTGGCTCAAAAGAAGGTTGACTTTAGATTAACAATCTTGATTTTTCAAAATCATGATTGAGTGTTATTAGATGCACCGTTCTTATGTGTTTCTTTAAATGCTGGCAAGAAAAGATGCTGCGTACTGTTTACCTGAAGTTAGTGTACTGTAGTTTACTGCTTACCTGGAGTTAGTGTACTGTAGTTTACTGTTTACCTGGAGATAGTGTACAGTGGTGCACTGTTTACCTGGAATTAGTGTAATGTAGTGTACTGTTTACCTGGATTTAGTGTACTGTGGTGTACTATTTACCTGGAGTTATTGTACTGTAGTGTACTATTACCTGGATTTAGTGTACTATAGTGTACTTTTACCGGGAATTAGTGTACTGTAGTGTACTGTATACCTGGAATTAGTGTACTGTTTACCTGGAATTAGTGTACTGTAATGTACTGTATACCTGGAATTAGTGTACTGTAGTGTACGTATACCTGGAATTAGTGTACTATAGTGTACTGTATACCTGGAATTAGTGTACTGTGAGTTGAGAAGTGATCTCGCGGATTTGAAGAATGATCTCCCGAGAGAATCAGAGTTCGGTGGTTGAGGGTATCCTGTAAATCCAATCACCTGAAATATATTTTTATCAAAAACTTCTTAAATTCATTTTTTTAATATGCACAGAATATACGTAATGTAAAATAAAAGTCAAGGAACAAAAAAATCATTGTTGGTTTGATTTTCGGGTGAAGTCTAATACTCAAGTTTAAACATGAGTGCTTGGATGAACACACAAAATGAGTGTTCGAGAGACTCTAATACCTGTGGATGAGTGACTGAGTGTTGTGAAAGTGAAAGAATAACCGGTTCTGATTGATTCATTACAACTTGGAGCTGGGGGTTTAGGTGAAACGTATCCACATAGTTCCTTCCCGCCATAGTTGGCTCATCTCTTGCTGTTTCGCTGTCAAGGTGAACCATCTGAAAATATAATAATATAATAATAAGATTTATTTAGAATAAGAATTCGCGTCAAAAAAATAATATAAATCCTTAAAGGATGGCTTGTTCTAAGTAAGTCAAGAGAATAAGAAAGCTTTGTGTTCTAAAACACAAAACAAAAAATTGTTAAAATTTTCAGTCGAAAAAAAGAACAACATTTTTTTTATCTTATATACGCGACATCAAGAATCCAATATTCTTATTTTTTATCTCTGGTCGTCCATTTTGACGTCAGAAAAAGTTTTGATTTTTTAAAATGTCTTTCTACCTCTAAATGTGTAAATGTTCTCATAAAGTCTGTATATGACATCCAGAACTCTCCCTGGTCTGCCTGGTTGACCCCCAGACGACCTCTCTCCTCTATCCCAACCTCTTCCCAGGTAGGACTAGTAGGTCCCCAGGTTCCCAGGTAAGCGTTGGAATCTCCGGAGTCGAGGTGTACTAGTTGTACCATCTCACCAATAATTGTACTCACCTAGAGTAATTATAATTGTTAAAAAATGAGAACTAAGATGGCGCTCTTTTTGTTCCCATAAGATTTACAAAACGGAAATTTGCAGGGCAAAACCAGGAACAACTGGCAAATGAAGAACATTTCGTGATTTAGAAAATTTAGAACTTAATCTTCAAAATGTCTCTTTTTTATCAATCATTTAATATCACAAAAAAAATCCGCTCCCAGTCCAAAACTAGCTTGCAAATGATAATAGGGATAAAATGAAATATAAAAAATATCTAAAAAAGATGAGACAGTTAATCTTGCTAATAATAAAGGTTGATAATAAATATCAATAATTAGTATCATCATATCAATATAAAGATTGGCAATGAGTTTTAGCAAATAAAAATGAAAAGTACAAAAATTCTGATTTTTTATTTTTCCACTTTTTCTTTCATTTCATTGTTAGCTTTTTTTTTACCAAATCAATTCGTTTAAAAGAATATTTAAGAAGTTGAAGAATTTTATGTTACCATCAAAGTTTAATTCACAAACTTACAGTAACACAGACTGCTTATACGCTCTCACGCGCTCAATTTTTAACATAAAACATAAAATTTATGAATTAAGTCTGTTTTTGAACACAATGGAACCTTTGTAAAATAGCGTATGAGCAGTCTGCATTAGTCTGTGTAGACTGTAGACTGTAGAGTGTAAAAAATGAAATTAACGAGTGAACACTGAGAATCATAAAACTGTGGAATTGGAAGACGACATTATAAAAACATATGCATTTGACAGTGTTACAAATAGTTTCATTGAAGTAGCCAATTAGCTTAAAAATCCCTTATTAAGTGAAATATTTTGTGCACTATACCCAATTGAAGTGTCAAATGTTCATTGGACTTATCTAAAGTCATAATTTGAGCCTAAAAGTCGTCTTCCTATTCCACAGTTTATTTGTTTTGTATAGTTTACCTTATCTATACTAAGGAGCCTGTAATTAGTTCCAACATTGATCCCGTTAGCCAGCCGGTCATTGTGGCCGGCCATCTTGTTATTGTTTTCTACCTGGACAGTACAGGTCACCAGAGAGCTCATATCTAGTGCAATATAAACATCAATTTTAAGAAGAAAAAATAGAACACTTTTTTCCTTTTATTTTTTTCAACATATTTTTTTTAATTGAGTTTTATAATTTTCCTAGAAGACTGAGTAGTAATCGTCCAGTCAAAGTTGGATCATCCCTAAAATAAATGTTTAAAAAGAATCAATTTAATCCAAATATTAAAATTTTGGATTCTTATAAACAGGGTGTCCCAATAAACACGGGAATTGAGCGACGATTTCGAGATCTTGCTTTTAAATGATTTTTGATTTAGTATAAAGTGATATCTACTGAGAAAGCTGTAATCCGTATGACTGTTGTCTCGTAATGTTTAGAATTTGTTTGTTTATTTATAGTTTGACTGCCTAAGTTTGTAGGTAATAAAAGAACAATAACATTCCTTGTATGAAAACAAAGTAAACTTGTCTGTCTTCACATTGTTCATCTTTAAAGACATTACATTCCTCGGTTCCTTCAAGTAAATTACAGTAAATTTACTTTAAAATGAACAGATTTAATGAAGCTTACTAGGACAACAAAATCAATGTAACATGGTAACACCAGTTAAATGGTTCAACTACGTCCAAGTAGTTCAATTACTTCTTGCTATTTATTAAATTTATTCTCCCAGTTACCTGAGAGGAAGGGTTTCCACGACACCCCCAGTTAGATCTGCTAAACCTTCAAGTACTGATCCATATTTCAACGAGTCATAGCTTCCGTGTAACCTGAGGTAGAAACTTGAGATTAACACCTAAACCCCTCAACGGAAAGGAATTGAATCTTTGCCAAAACTTTAGTTTATAAATTCTTATATCTTTGTAACCTGACAAAAATAAGTCTTTGATATTTCAAAATTAGATTATTTAATTTAACAGAATTAATAGTTTCAAATATCTGAATTCAGTTTCTTTTTAAACTTATAGAGAAGGCCAAGAAGGTTAACCAACCCACATATACAGAAGAAGAAAAAAATGATAGAAGGAAAGCAGAAATTAAATTCATTCCGTAATACTCTGCATAAAATACGGATAACTGCTTTATCCGTTCAATCACAACACAAATGTTTTGACCTTAGGACATATATATTTAGAAATCCAAGAGTTACAAATTACAAATCTATAAAAGTGGCTCTTATGAAAAGAAAGCGGAAGACGACATTTATTCTTATTTTTTATTATTTTATTATTTCAGACTTACTTTGCATAAGCTTTTTCTAGCAATGCAGCCCAGAAGGACGAGAGACGATGTGATGAAAGAAAGACAAGACGATTTCCAACTGTTGGAAGACGATCGTCAACTAGAACCTCCTTCCACACTCCACACCACCACACTCGGAACCTAGAGGAATAGAGGATTAAAGAAATCATCAAATAGAACCATATTCTACACTCTGAACCTAGAGGAATAGAGGATTAAAGAAACCATCAAATAAAACCATATTCTACACTCAGAACCTAGGGAAATAGAGGATTAAAGAAATCATCAAATAAAACCATATTCTACACTCGGAACCTAGAGGAATAAAGGATTAAAGAAATCATCAAATAAAACCATATTCTACACTCAGAACCTAGGGAAATAGAGGATTAAAGAAATCATCAAATAAAACCATATTCTACACTCAGAACCTAGAGGAATAAAGGATTAAAGAAATCATCAAATAGAACCATATTCTACACTCTGAACCTAGAGGAATAGAAGATTAAAGAAATCATCAAATAAAACCATATTCTACACTCAGAACCTAGAGGAATAGAGGATTAAATAAATCATCAAATAAAACCATATTCTACACTCGAAACCTAGAGGAATAGAGGATTAAAGAAATCATTAAATAGAACCATATTCTACACTGAGAACCTAGATGAATAGAGGATTAAGGGTTATGAACTAGAACCATATTCCATACTCGGTACCTAGAGGAATAAAGGATTAACGGATTATGAACTAGAACCATATTCCATAGTCGGTACCTAGAGGAATAGAGAATTAAAGAGATCGTAAACTAGAACCATATTCCATACTCGGAACCTAGAGGAATAGAGGATTAAAGAGATCGTAAACTAGAATCATATTCCATACTCGGTACCTAGAGGAATAAAGGATTAACGGATTATGAACTAGAACCATATTCCATAGTCGGTACCTAGAGGAATAGAGAATTAAAGAGATCGTAAACTAGAACCATATTCCATACTCGGAACCTAGAGGAATAGAGGATTAAAGAGATCGTAAACTAGAATCATATTCCATACTCGGTACCTAGAGGAATAGAGGATTAAACGATTGTGAAAAAGAAACATACAACAAAACCTACAGGAATAAAAGATGAAAAGAATCACCAACATTATAAATACAAGATATTATTAAACAATCTCAATTCAAACCTTGCCCTTTTTCTTTCCAAATTTATAATTTTCTTACTCATCTCTGATATTTTAATTTTCAGATTCAAATTAAATTTTCTTTTTAAAGTTTCTTTTCAAACTTGTGGTTTCTGTGCTAAAACCGAAAATAAAATATTCTTTATTCGTTGGGATTTAAATTTAGGTTTGATTAAATTCATGTTTAAACCACTATGAAAAAGGTTAAATTGAAAAAAATACCGATTAAATTGGTTTTGTTTAAAAATATTTCAGAACGATAGGTCTCTAGGTTGTAGCAGGTGGGTAAACAAAAGTACATTGGTACCAGGTGTATAGTGTACTGTACTGTACAGTTACCTGAAAACTCCGCAATATTCATCTTGATCTAGAAATCCCTGATCTGCTGGTACAGCACGGTACAACAATCCTTTACTGCTGTACAGACAACGTAAACACTGTACAAACCAGTTATCTCCTGAAAAAAAAATTATTTTTAAAAAGTTATATATTATTCTCATTTATTATTTGTTCAACATAAATCCACAGTGTGCATTATTTAACATCATTCCATTATTCCGTATAATTACGCATTATTCAACATCAATCTATTCCGCATTATTCCGCATTATTTCACATCATTCCATTATTCTGCATTATTCCGCATTATTCCACATCATTCCATTATTCTGCATTATTCCACATTATTCCATTATTCCGTATTATTCCACATAATTCCATTATTCCGCATCGCTCAAAATTGGTTAACANCCCCTACTAAATTATTACACTTTTTAACGTTATTTTACATTCTTTTTTTTAACTATTCCACATTTCTTTCCAATTTTAGCCTAAATAAAAATTTAGTTTTTTAATGATGTCTCGTTATTTATTTATATTCCTCATTATTCTTTTGACAGTAAAAGAATGACTTGTAAGTTAGCGCAGTTCTACGTGCAGTTAACTACACCCAATATAAAGAATTTTTATTAAAATTTTAATGTTAGTCTTTTGTTGTCAGGCTTACTGAGATGTTCCAGATTTATTATTTGCTGATTTAAAAATATATATAGATGAAAAATTGCTATGTTGTATTTTTAAACCAATAAAATTGTTGAACACTAAACTTAATTTAGTATCAGCAGAATCAGTCTCGTGATTTTGAGACTCCCATATCCTGACACTTATAAATTGTTGAGAACTAAACTTAAAACCCGTATCAGCAGAATCAGATAAGTGAACTTCAGGCTCTGATATCTTGATGCTTTTAAACTAAACCTAAAATCAGTATCAACAGAATCAGTCTCATGAACTTCAGGGTCCAATATCTGGACACTAATATATTGTTGAAAACTAAACTTAAAACCAGTCTCAGTAGAATCAGTCTTGTGAACTTCAGGCTCCAATATCTTGATGCTAATTTCTAGGTTACTTTTTGTTCCCATCTCTGAATTGGCTGAGGGAAATTTATTAGTTTCTTTTCATATATATTCATATATATATATATTTATATATATTCTTATATATTCATACATATATATATATTTATATATTCTTATGTCCATGTCGTGAGCTGAAAAACACTCTGTAACGATTTGTTGGGCGTGTTTTGAGGAGGTTGGGAGGAGTAAAGGAGAAGGAATAAGTTGTATTTCTACAGATTAAATTATGAGAAAACAGAATTATTGATGTTTGGTTTCGATAGGTTTGCTTTTATTAAGTTTGATTTGCCAAGGTTTGGTTTCATTAGGACTGGTTTCGTTTGTATGGGTTTGGTTTCATTAGGTTTTGTTTCATTAGGTTTTGTTAAAATAGATTTAGTTGCATTAGGTTTGGTTTCAATAGATTTGATTTCATTAGGGTTGGTTTCATTAGGTTTGGTTTCACTAGCTTGGTTTCATTAAGTTTTGTAAATCATTTGGTTTGGTTTCAACAGCTTGGTTTCATTAAGTTTTGTAAATCACTAGGTTTGACTTCAATAGTTTTGGTTTCATCAGTGTTTGGTTTCTTTAGGGTTTGGTTTCATTATGTTTGATTTCATTAGTGTTTGGCTTCTTCAGTGTTTGGTTTCATTAGGTTTTGTTTCATTAGATTTGGTTTCGTTATATTTGGTTTTGATAATTGGTTTTGTTAGATTTAGTTTGGTACTAATAATATTTTGTTCTTAATTGTTTGTTTCTGCTGATTTCCCTTCTTTTGCAGTTCCCTGTCTAACTTAGTTTGTTCTTTTTAGGTTTAGTTTGGAAAGGTTTGTTTGGTTCGCTCTTCCTTGGGTCTAGTTTGATGACATGTTGATAGTTTGGATTTCAAAAAATGATATTGAATTGACAGGAAGAGAGCTAATATGTAATTCCGGATATTGCAATCCCCCCCCTCCCCCCTTCCCTGACCTTGGTTTCGGGGAAATTCCTTCGCCCATCTTTGCGTATACAAGCCTAGACATGTACGCAAATTTTATTATTGAAGCTCTGCGTCAGAAATATAAATGATCTGTAACTTGGAGTTTATTGATACTGATACTGATACTGATATACTGATACTGATACTGATACTGATACTGATACTGATGCAATGGACAATCAAACAATCGGAAATGTTAGGAATATATAATAAATATGTACAAAATATATCTAGAATTCGGATACATATTCAATATCTAGATATGAATAAAATATACATATCTACAATCTAGACATATGCGTGTGGTAATTTTTTAACAATTGTGTCTGTATTTGTATCGTACACACTCTCAATTATGATTCACAGGGGTTTCCAAATATTAACTCCATAGTTATTCGACCTTGTGATTTAAAATCTTTAAACCGAAATTATAAATTAAAACCAAAGATGCATGATGCAGAAATTTTCAGAAAACGTGGAACGTGGAACATCTTCTGTTATTTAAGAGTTTAAAGAATCGAAGTGTTAAATGCCGAAAGTAAATATTTCACGGTATATGCCATTAGGCGAATAATGCACTGAGTAAAATTGGAGAATCTACAGCTGCTATGAGATCAGTTGTTTAATCTAAAGCTGCACTAAGTGCAGTCGGTAAATCTGCAGCTACACTAAGTGCAGTCGATGAATCTACAGCTGCACTAAGTGCAGTCGGTAAATCTGAAGCAGCTGCAGCTACACTAAGTGCAGTGGGTAAATCTACTGCTGCACTAAGTGCAGTTGGAGAATCTACAGCTGCTATGAGCTCAGTTGGTTAATCTACAGCTACACTAAGTGCAGTCGGTAAATCTACAGCTGCACTAAGGGCAGTCGGAAAATCTACAGCTGCTATGAGCTCAGTTGGTTAATCTACAGCTGCACTAAGTGCAGTCGGTAAATCTGCAGCTACAACAAGTGCAGTCGGAGAATCTACAGTACAGTTAGTGAACCTGAAACTGCACTAAGTTCAGTTAGTGAATCTATAGCTGCACTTAGTGCAGTTGGTGAATCAACAGCTGCACCAAGTGCAGTGTCTATTCTGCAATAACAATGCAGTTTTTCATTAAACCCTCCTCAAGCTAAGTAAAATTCCTAACTCTACAAGGATTTATGGTTTTAACGCCGTTGGCGCTAAATTACTAAAAGATGTTAATAATGGTATTTTGTTTAGGGACTTCATAACGTTAGTTGAAGTAAGCCTCCATTTTAAGAAGTACATGTCCAATTCTCAACGGTTCCTTTTTAAACCTGTATCTAAGCAAAATTAATCAAGATATTCTAATATTTCAATTTGAGAATCAATATTAAACAATTGTGATCTATAAAAGTAATTTGTGAATTTATGGACCAGTAAATTGTAGATTAGGAAGGAAAGCAACGGGATTAGATAAAGGATGTGATTACCGTTGTGAATCGGACATGCAACTTTTTAAATAGAGGATTCTTGAAATTACGTCTACAATGCCTTTTAAGAGCGATCAACATAATGTTATTTTGATATTTCGTAAACCTAGATGCCATATTCACTTTAAATTTCAAAATACTTTAATCCCAAAGTTTGTCTCCTCAACTACCTATTTTGGCAGGTGGTGAAGTCTAAAACAGTTTCCAATTTGAAGAGTCATTTTTATATTATTTTTCGTGATATTGAGTTTTTTACCAGAGTTTAATTCTGATTCTTTTGAACATTGGTTATTAGAATCTGTTTTCAAGGCTTAGAAAAATATTGTGAAAAAATCACACAGAGCTGGAGTAAAGTTAATTACACAATCCTCCCAATATCTATTTGTAATATAAATACTTTGCTTGGCTGTCTGTCTGCTTTTTTGTATCCAATAAACGTCAAAACAGCTGAACCAATGGGTCCCAACTTTTTTGTGCGACCTCACGTGACCCCAGGGAAGGTTTATGGATGATCAAAATTAAAAAATTTGCCTCCAACAAAATTCAATTTTCATGAATTTTAAAAATTCACGACTTTTTTATAACTTTTTTTGTTTTTGTTTTACAATGTACACAAAGAGAAAATGTTCAAAATTGAAAGAGAAGATGGCGCCCTTAATGCTTAGTCTTCTAGATAGTAAAATGGGAATGAATAAAAATTAAAAATTATTCTTTAAATGTACATAAAAACATGTTATGTACAATGTATAAAATGTTCATTGTACAAGAACATATTCTGACTGGAACCAAGTCACATATCTCTATTTTGATGGTCACTGGTCAGTCTTTAATCTATTCAAGGCATTTCACGGATTCAAGGCCTGAATCCTGGCCAGAGCTAACCATTTAAAATCAATTTATGCAATTATAGGTTTAACTGAGTAATACAGGAAGTCCCAGAATAAAAAGTATGTTTCCTTTGATTAGCATTTAAAGAATTGCCCTTGAATCACCGATAAAAGTCCGAATTTAATGTATATGAACTGGGTCTTAAATCCGCCAAAAACGGGTTTTAATTGAGCGCCTGCTTAAACTATAGAATACAATTTTAAGGGGAACAAACCATATTTGAGCCGCGGCTCAAATTCTTTAAATTAGGCCTCTGTATTATTATGTATATTTTACTAATTAAATATTTATCCAGGAATTGAGACCTTTCATATTTTAAACCATGACTTCTGTTAGATTAAATATTCTAAGTTTGAAATTTAAAAGGTTTACACAATCAGGTTCCAAGATATTGGGGCTAGAAAATTTGAGTTTGTGAAAACGACTCAATTCCTTTTCTTAAATTCAAATAAACTCACAAAATCATAATTTTCTATTTAAGCAACTCAACATTTGATCATAACTTCGTAATTGCTTATATTCACACTAAACCATAATTTAAATTTCTTCGATCTCATTTTCTCATTTCATCACAAAATGCATTATCATCATAAAAATGTCTTTAATTGAGTCAATTAAAGGAATGTTCTAAATCAGAATAAAATAACTAACTTCAATATAGATTAATGTGTGTCTATCTTAGTCTATAGTCTCTAGAGTAGAACAAATAGATTCAAATTAAAGATTGACATGAAGCACCATTTATAGACTAACGCAGACGTGGTGATTAAATTATGACTCTCTACTACAGTTATGGCTTTCATTAGCATCAGTGACCATTAAGATACACACAAAGGTATAACCAGAAAACAATAAAATAGGAAGACGACATTAAAGCAATACTTAAGTGTATTTTATGTTGTTACAAAGCAAACAGTTATTGAATCAATAATTTAGTGTAATGATTCTGTTTACATTGCACAATTACTGTTTCTCAGGTTCATTGTACTTTTTAAACATATAAATTGATTCTAAAAGATGTCTTTCTATTTCAGAGTTTACTGGTTATCACTGTAGTTGTGTTTCAAACTAAAAATTTTGAAAATTAATTTCATTTAAAATCTTAAATAATCCCTTTGATTCCCTTTTTAAAGAAACTGACCTAATTTTCCTGGTAGAATATCAAACGCCTGAGTATCCACGATAAACTCAGGATTTATCACTAATTCCTGAAACAAAATAAATCACGTTAAACTGAAGTAAAGTGCACCAGAGGCGAAGAGGCGTATTCAGGAGGGAGATATGGGGTCTCTACCTCCCCCTGGACCAACAAAATTTATGGATTTCAGGGGTTTTTCAGGCCCTAACGAGTGATGAGCACCCCCACCCCATGCAAAGAAAAAAGTTTAAGCCCCCCCTGGACAAATTCCTGAATACGCCCATGATTTTGTGTGCGTTAGATTGACATCTTATATGTTTTCGATCATACCTCCAATTGTTGATGAGCTATTAAAAACAACAACAAAAATTCTGAATTTCTTAAATGTAGTCGGATAGATTTGTCTTTCTTATACTTATGCGTACAATAAAACTAGAGGAGCGACGAGGTCACAAAGTCGTACTAGTAATATCACTCAAATTTGACCGTTTAAATCTATAGTTCTATCTTTATAAAAAGCTAAGGTATATTCATACTATTCTCCTATATCCATCTATCCTCCTATATCCATCTATTTACCGATATCCATCTATACCCCTATATCCATCTATCCTCCCTATATCCATCTATCCTCCCTATATCCATCTATCCCCCTATATCCATCTATCCTCCCTATATCCATCTATCCTCCCTATATCCATCTATCCCGATATCCATCTATCCTCCCTATATCCATCTATCCTCCCTATATCCATCTATCCTCCCTATATTCATACTATTCTCCTATATCCATCTATCCTCCCTATATCCATCTATCCCCCTCTATCTCCATATTTTTCCCTAAATCCCTCTATCCCCCTATATCCATCTATTCCCCAATATCCATCTATTCCCAATATCCATCTATCCCCCTATATCCATCTATCCTCCTATATCCATCTATTCCCAATATCCATCTATCCCCCTAAATCCATCTATCCCCCTATATCCATATATCCCCCTATATCCATCTATCCCATATTCCCCAATATCTATCTATTCCCCAATATCCATCTATCCCCCATATCCATCTATCCCCCTATATCCATCCATCCTCATATATCCATCTATTCCCCAATATCCATCTATTCCCCAATATCCATCTATCCCCCTATATCCATCTATCCCCCTATATCCATCTATTCCCCAATATCCATATATCCCCCTATATCCATCTATTCCCTAATATCCATCTATCCCCCTATATCCATCTATTCCCCAATATCCATCTATTCCCCAATATCCATCTATTCCCCAATATCCATCTATTCCCCCATATCCATCTATTCCCCAATATCCATCTATCCCTCTATATCCATCTATTCCCCAATATCCATCTATCCCTCTATATCCATCTATCCCCCTATATCCATCTATCCCTCTATATCCATCTATTCCCCAATATCCATCTATCCCTCTATATCCATCTATCCCCCTATATCCATTATCCCTTAAATGGATAAAATCAATATGACCATGTTTATAAAAGCATGAGATGTGATCAAGGAAGAAGAAAGAATAACCTTGAATCTAGGAATTGTTTTCAACTTTGGAAATAATGATTAAAATAATTGGGTTTATTCAAGAAAAAAAGGAAGGTTTACATATATAAGAAGTGAAGGAGGGACAAGGGTAGGTAGCTCAGGCATAAAATAAAAAGAAGAGATACTTATAGATAAAATATTAATTCTAGAAAACATAAAATATGAAGATGAAAAAAATATTTTGAGAAATAGTTAAAAATGACAAAAAAATAAGACAAAAATTATTTATGACATAAAACTTCATACAAGATGATTACAAGAGTTTAAAAAAATTTGAATAAAATTGGATCTAATATAAGTTAATATGCATATATGCCGAGTATACACTTGATTAGAGGCCATACCGTGGGGGCACTAATAGTGATGAATTGATTGTAAAAGGTAATATTAACTAGCGCACAAAAGGCCGGGAAGCATGATAGTAACATTTATGACTAATGATTGATCAAAGTTGACAAAAAAGTTTTATGAACAATCATTTATCTGATACACCCATACATCCAAACACGCTTCCATACATGCATACACCACAATGTCCTTTGTCCTACATTTTTTGTCCTGCATATGAGTTGTCAAACACATTATTATAGGACAAGTCATAGATTAACAACAACACTGATAGAACACTTTCTCAAGATTTATGGGTTTTTCGTTCAGAAGCAAAAGTATTTACGGGCGTTGAATTACAAGACAAGAGAGCAAGCCTTTTCTATGCCGCATCCACGTAACTCCTTTGGGCCTCTGCCTCGGGGTTATTGTAAACGAAAAACCCTAAATCTTGAAAAGACGACATCAAGTGTTCTATCTGTGTTGTCATTTATCTATGGGACAAATGATTGTAGGACAAATGATTTATAAGACAAATAATTGTATTACCTTATATCATTTATGGTCATCTATAATTTCTTTCTTAATCGAACTTTGAATTAACTTTTTCATCATCAATCATTCATTTTTTCATTTATCCTTTCCATCTTTAATTAAATTAAATTCATACTTTTATCCTTCATTAATTCTTAATTTTCCATCCTTCCATCAGCGACTGATAAACTGTGACAAAGAAATGATAATACATATCTCAGGGGATATTTGTTCCAAAACTAACATTTGACCCATTTCTCTCACTGAGTGTTAAAAATGGGCCAAATGTGCAAAGTTATCTTTTTCAAGAGTATATATCTTTAAATCCAAGACGAGTAGAACAAAATTACAGCATATATTTTAAAGAAATGGCAAAACTATATATTGAAACAATAAATTTCAATTTTAAACTAATAATTAGGTGTGAGAATTAGTTTTTGATGATTCTTGATTTCAGTTTCGAACATATCCCTATTTTGAAACAATTACCGGTTTTCGAATCATATTCTGGTTTTCAGACGCATTATACCGGAATTCATATCAATGTCAATTTTCAAGCATTTACGCACTTACGTGAGGTAAAATATAAACAATGTTCAAAATTCAGAAAATGGAAAACCTGACATTGTCTTGAACGAGATTTATTTCAAAAAGAACTCTTATCATAATTTTGATTTAAAGAAAGTTTTAAATTGGTAATTTTTATCCTCGGCATGTTTAATAAAATGTTGGTTATAGTTTTTACTATTGACTTTTATTCTGGATATGGATCCCCAGTCTTTCAATTTAGGCCCATTTCTAACACTCAGTGTTAGAAATGGGCCAAGGTTTAGTTTTGGAACTAATGTCCCCTGAATTTAACTTAATATATTCCGATGACATGACAAATTCTTCGTTAAGGTCAAGGCGTGCCGAATATTAAAAATTCCCTTTATCTCCCTTCCCTCTCTCCTCCACCTTCCACACCCCAAGCTGCCCCCCTCCCCTCTTATTCTACTCCCCCCCCCTTAATCGGACCACCACCCAACTAATAGTTCAATCACACGTCCCAAACAAGTTAATTTAAATGACATGATAAAATAAATTCCTTTAAAAGTATGCAAAGCCAATTTTATTTATTTTATACCAAGTTGAACTGAATTATTTTAATAAATGTGTCTGAATTTCCTGGGAACAAATGTTAAGAGCGACCTTGAAAATATTGATTTAAAGGAAAAGAGAAAACCCTTCATTTCCTATATTTCAAAACTATAATATTCATTTGAATTATGGTTGAAACATATTGTAAAACATGTTTGTATAAATACTTGGCTTAGCCGTCCTTGGAGAAAATTAGATTTTTTGAATTCACATTTTTATGGTGAAACTAAAGAAGTTTGATTTTACAAAACGTAACTAAACGCTCCAAGTCGTATTGTCTAGTCTAGTATCAAGTTTTGCCATGATATTGAATTCAATATAAAAAGGTTTCCTCAAATTACGGAACAATTTCTATTTATGCCAATTTATAAAATACTATGAGAGAGGAGGGGGGGGGGGAAGTAAATACAAAGGTCACGGTGACTTGAAGTTAAACGTTCAATTTCTGTTTTTCTTTCTGTTTTTGCCAGGAGAGAACTGACACTGTGAGTTGTGACTGGTTTTCGTCAGGGGAAAAAAGGTTTTAAAGAAAGTTATAGAAATTGATTGATAAAAGTAAAGGAGAAGGGGGGTTATGTGTGAATTAAAGGACTGTAAGGAGAAGGTGGGTTATGTGTGAATTAAGGGACTGTAAGGAGAAGGGGGGTTATGTGTGAATTAAGGGACTGTAAGCCTGATTCACAACAGTACCCTTAAAAGCTTTGTATTCTAATTTATAAATTATAAATCAATGTTTATAATTTTAAAAACGTATTATTTTCAATTGGGGGTTCTCTACAAAAAGAAATGAACAGGAAAGCATATAGAAATTGTCAAAATTAAATATTTTTTAACCAAGAAAAACCACAATATCTTCCACATTATTGATCAGATAATGGTTGCAGGATACCGTTGTTGATAGGGCATTGTAATTTTTTGCATGAAGGCTCGCTTGAAATTACGCTTACAGCCTCTTTAATGTACAATGTACGTGTGCATGTGTGTGTCAAATTAATGACTAAACGTTAGAATCACGTCACACGCCTACGCTTGGGCGTTAGCAGAATATATAAATGTATCTGGAGTTTATTTGTACAAGAGAGTATATGGATTCAGGATATTGTGTACACTGTACATATTTGTACAAGGGAGTATATGGATTCAGGATATTGTGTACACTGTACATATTTGTACAAGGGAGTATATGGATTCAGGATATTGTGTACACTGTACATATTTGTACAAGGGAGTATTTGGATTCAGGATATGGTGTACAGTGTACATATTTGTACAAGGGAGTATATGGATTCAGGATATAGTGTACAGTGTTCATATTTGTACAAGGGAGTATATGGATTCAGGATATAGTGTACATTGTTCATACTTGTGCAAGGGAGTATATGGATCCAGGATATAGTGTACAGTGTTCATATTTGTGCAAGGGAGTATATGGATTCAGGATATAGTGTACAGTGTACATATTTGTACAAGGGAGTATATGGATTCA